GGGACCCTCCACTTACGTCCCTGGGCACGTGCACGGGAGTGACGCTTGGTGGAACTGCAGGATCGGAGGGTGAATGCATATCCCACCTCCCCCAAAACAGCAAACCTGTTGCTGTGGAGTCCGTTCTGACTCACAGCGCCCCTAGGAGACAGAGTAGAACTGCCCCAGAGGGTTTCCAAGGCTGTACTTCTCTTTGGAGGAGAGCTCTGGTGGCTTAGTACCTCAGGCATTTGACTGCTAACTCTAACTTCTTTATGGAACCAGACTGCCTCAGCTTTCTCCCTCAGAGAGGCTGATGGGTTCCAACCATCAAAATTCAGAAATGATTGGATATTGATGATTTCATACACTTTATGATAATACCTGTAGAAGTTGTGTATGCCCATTACACGCGACTTGGAAGATACTAAACATTTTGAAGATAAGCTGCCCCTGGGGACAGCCAGTGGAGAAAAGCCACCTGCGGGAACAGCCAGTGGTAACATTTGGTTCATCTCCCTCCAGTGCTTTTTCTACACAAGTACCCTCTGGGGGCAGTGGTCAAGGACAGGTCACTCGTGCTGCTGAATTTGGGGCTGGTTGGAGATTTTCTTGGCTCCTCCAAGTCTCTTTCTCGTTTTTTCTGTAAAGTGGGGTATCTGCCCCCAGGACTGAAGCCCAGTTGTTGTGGGTTGTCTAGAGACAGGGACCCCGCGGCCAGCCCTCGTTGCCTCCAGCCCGGCTTCTGGACAGTGGTCACACTCATCATGTTCATTTTCCCGGCTGTTTAGCAGCTGCGTGGTGTGCGTCCCTGCCTCAGAGGGGCGGCTTACCTTCCATTTCTATTAGCTGTCAGCATTGCCTCACCTGGTGTGCAGCCCAGGGCCTGGCTCTCCCCCTGGGCCTGCTGCCGCCCGCTCCAGGGGCCCTGCGGTCCTCCTCTGCAGGCTGCCCTGTGCTGACGGGGCCGTCGCGGCAGACACCTTGTCATTGGTTTTTCCCTGAAACATGGATGTCATCGGATGCCCTGTTCCACCGTGTGGTGCCGTCACCATCCGCTTTCCAGTCACAAATGGGCTGGGGCCTCTGCATGCCAGGCCTGAGCTGGGCGCTGGATCTAGTCTTTGTCTTCCGGGAGCTTCCGTTTTCAGTGGCGGAGATGCAAACAAGACATGAGTAGATGTATCCTGTGCTAGTTAAGGCTGTGTGTCAACTTGGCTGGGCGTGGTTCTCAGTGGCTTGCAGTCCTCCTCCATGAGGTGATCTGATGTGATCGGCGAGTCAGTTGTAAGAGGTGTTTTCTCGGGAGGGTGGCTGGCATCCAGTGTCTGTGCATGTTCTGGCAAAGCTCACGTGCTCTGGATCCTACAGTTGGCCCTCATCACCCGACCTCTGGCTCTCAGGATCCATCAGCCTCCAGAGCCTGGGAGCAGAAGCCTGCTGTCCCACCTGCCCGTCCTGGATT